GTACAATGATTAGTACAGTTAGTACAGTTAGTACATTATAATAATTAATATAAAAATTAGTACAAGTACAGTACAAGCAGTGATGTCCATTTCCTATGTCCCAAGCATTTGCTGTCCCAGCTATATATCCCAACTATATGTCCCAACTATGTCCCATATATGTCCCAAATGTCCCATCTGTCCCATCAATGTCCCATCAACACTGAGTACAAGTACAGTGGTAATTTCATTTAGTACATACAAAATTCCCAACCCTGTTTATACATATCACTCTCACCCACACAGACTATGTAAAAGATTATTTCCCACAAGAGAACTTCACCGAGATGAAAAAATTTCGAATCTAAATCATAAATTCCAGAGATTAGCAACTGAGGTAATAAAAAATAAGCAATATTTTCGATTCACACTTACTACTAAGATTCATTTTCACAGATTTCCATTCCGCAAGTTGTTGCTTGATTTTTTCTGCGTTATGATGCTGCACAAAGTTTCATAACTAAACTACAGTCGACCCTCTCTACAATCACACCCTTCAGGATCGCCTTATGGTGTGATTGTATAGAGGTGAGCTTATATGTGATTATGTAATTTCAAAAATTAAAATTGAAATTACCGGTATTTATTTTATTACATTTATTACATCTATAGTTTATCATTTTAGATTAGATTTTTAACACTTTGGCTGGATCCAAAGCGGTAAGTTTTGTTTTTTTTTCTTCGTTTCATTCTCCTTTCGCTTGGTTGTTAAATTAACCAATTTCTTTATTTTTTAGATTTTTCAACATTTTGGCTAGATCCAAAATGGTAAGTTTCGTTTCATTTCTTTTCTTCTTTGTTTCATTCTTCCTTCTTTCTCTTGGTTATTAATTAACCAATTTTCTTTTTTTTTATAGGTCTTTGGGTTTCTTCAGCTGGATCTAAGGTGCAAGGTGGGTGTTTCATTTGTTTCATTCTTCCTTCTTTCACTTGGTTATTAATTAGCCAATTTTCTTTTTTTTTTTAGATCTTTGGATTTCTTCGGCTGGATCTAAGGTGCAAGGTGGGTGTTTCATTTGTTTGTTTGTTTCTTCTTTCACTTGGTTATTAATTAATAAATTTTTTTTTTTTTAGGTTTTTGGGTTTCTTCGGCTGGATCCAAGGTGCAAGGTGGGTGTTTCGTTTATTTCATTCTTTCTTCTTTCGCTTGGTTATTAATTAACAAATTTCTTTTTTTTTTAGATCTTTGGACTCTTCGGCTGGATCCCAAAGCAGTAAGTTCATTTTCTTACTTTGCTTTAATCTTTATTTACTTTCTTTTTTAGATGTTTCTTTTAGCTTTTCAGATCTGGATTCTAGA